AGTTTTACCAGAAAAAAATAAATAAATTTCCAATCAAGTTTGTTACTAAAGCTTATTTTACTAAGTATTTTATGAGGATAGCATTTTCTATGACTACCCTAAGTAAACCCACAACACAACACAAACATGACCAAGTGCTGTAGTGATTAAGGATCTGGATTAGGAGTTATAGATCTCCGTTGGGCACAGACGCTGGCTGATTGTAAACCAGCAATTTTTTCTCAGCACTAGACCGAGAAGTTGAAAAATACCTGCCTACTAACCACCTCTAGATCAGCATGATAGATAGAAGAAATGTAACCTTTAGTGAAAAGACTTTCATCCTGAAATGGGCTGATTAATGTTGAAGTGTGTATGTGTATTGTATGCATAAATAGCAAAGGCAGACACAAGTTAAAATAATAAACAATAATTATGGAACCCCAAATATTTAAGCCACCTTGGAGGCTGACACATTGTATCAATACAATACAAAGCATCAAGACAGCATTGTATCAGATGTCCTCCATTGTTCAGTGATTTCTAGCAGCTTTCTTACAACATAATTCAAAACAGAGAACAGAATTCATATCACAAGGTCGCACATCTCTGGCATAAAAATATATAAAAGGTATGTGCAGAAAAAATATTTACAAAAGTGCAGGAACATAAGGGTTAGGAACCAAAAATTTTCTGGAGTCTTTTTTTATATATATACTTCTCTTTAGCTTTTACGATAGAAGACATAGGTAATGCCTGACTTATAACCATTGATTTAGTGACCATTTCAAAGTCACAACAGCACTGAAAAAGTGACTTACTACTGGTCCTCATAGCATCTTCACAGTCACATGACTTAAATTTTGACACTTGACAACCAGCATATCTTTATTACAGCTGCAGTAGTTGTCCAAGGGCTATGTGGTCACCATATGTGAGGGCCCCCCACCCAAGCAAGCTTCTGGAAAGAAAAGTCAAGGGGAAAAACTGGATTCACTTAATGTCCATGACTTAACTACTGCAGTGATTCATTTAACTGAAGAAAAATAGGTTGTAAAAATAGACATAATTTATTTAACAAATTATCTTGCTTAGCAACAGAAATTCTGGTCCCAATTGTGACTGTATGTCAAGGAATACCTATATTGGCATATGAAAATATATTGTTTGATTACAATGCAACACCAAGTAACAACAAATAGAAAATATGCCACATAAAGTGCTATAACTGCTCCCTGTTTACTTTATTAGCAAGATTATTTAGTGTTCAGTACTGATATTCAATGGATTTACAAGTCATGTTAAAAATCCTCGCACAAACCAGCCAAACTTTTCAAGCATTGCTTTCTTAAGATTTTTTTTAATGAACAACTATATAAAACTGTTTGCAAACTTTGTTCATTGATGGTAACAATTATGTCTATTAACCTAATGAAATTATTTGAAATATTCCAGGACTAAATACTACTGAATAATTGTTCTAAATATATTATTGATTACAGTACCAAGATCTGTTATCATTTTAATACTCTATTTCGCAGTATTGTCAAATGTAACAACAACATCGATCATAATTTTAGAGAACTTCTACTGCACATTTTACAGTCATTCTAATGTCAATAATGTTTTGCATATAAATTACAGTATAGGACATAAGAAAATGGAGGAGCAGAACACAGATTCTTCTAGCTAATTGTATTATACTGACTGGAATATTTATCATATTATTCAAGATCTTAAATATATATGTCAATTTACAATATAATGTATTATGAATAATCTTTTAAAATAAAAAAAGTTAAGATTAAAGTAGATTTTTTTGCAGCATTGGCACTATAACTTTAATAGTTTTTCTCAAAACAAAGATACCTACTTAATGCCCATATAAATGGCATTTCCTATATTTTTAATACTACAGGAAGATTAGATTCAAAGGATAAAATGTGATTTGAGGCACATACAGGCATGTGCATGACATCTAATGGGAGCAAATTAAACCAAATGCATCTCTTTTCAGGAGGGAACATCAACTATGCAGTGTAGCATATTAGCCCAGGAAAAGGTTTACCAGTAGTTTCTTTAAGACATTCCCAATAATAGCTATATGCATGTCCCAAATCATATTACACTCTCAAATCCAGAACTCTGCAGTGTCCTACTACAGAACACCAAACATATTTAACCTAAAGGACATATTAAAATACAAGGCAAAAAGATTAATGAGATCTAAAGAAAAACTAGGAGACTGAAGTAGATATATTACAATAACTTAATTTTCTCAACATTTGCTACCTTGATTATAAATTTTTTCATATAATAGCACTATTTTATCCATGTATAGAGTTTGATTTTTTTTTAAATAGGTAGCCTCAGATTTGGAATATTAAATGTGATTATTGTGGTATATTGGTGGAACAATACTGAAATTCACTGTCAAAATGTTGAAGACATTCTTTCCATTTTTATTTCTTCTCTAAATAATGTGAAACATTAATCATGGAGCTTGCATTAAGGTTTTAAGGCTTTCTAGCTGCAACTCCCTACGCATAGGTCTTATTTCAGAGGAACTGAAGTCTAATGCCTATTTGATATTTATCTAAGGATGCATGATATCTTTTATTACATTAAGACATTTGCTTGTGAAATAATGCATCCTAATACAAAATTACTCACTTTTCAACTATATACACATACAACAAAAGCAATAGGAGGGAGAGATGATGCTAGCTGCAGAATCTCATATTAATATATCCAATATCAAAAAGAACTTTAAAACTTAATTGAATTACCTATATTTTTATGAAGTTTTTTTCTAAAAGATCTTTTCTTATCAAATATTGAACACATAAGATTGTTGAAGTCAAAAGATGCACTCTGCAGCCCCCCTGTGGTAAAGCAAAATTTGGAACTCTTGATACAATTCAGATGTACCAGGGGTTAAATTGTTGTAACACTTTTCAAATGCCTATAAACTAAACTCAAGAATTTACCACAGAAACTCAATGGGATGGGATTTGTTTCAATGAAGAGCTGGATACCCAACAATAACAGTATAGTTCAACATATTCCCACCACTACTGTGGTTTATGCTTAGCTCAAACCATGCAAATTACATAAAGTTTGAGAATAGTAAATCAGACTGACCTTTTAATATCAAATATTTTGGGTTTTAAGTCTACAAAACATTTTTAGGGTTTTTAAAAAAATGTTACCTCTGGATAACAGTGATTCATAATAAACTTTCTTTTCAAAACCCAACAATTTATTTCAAACAAGAAAATAACTTCAAATCAACTGTGCTTTTCTCATTTTTGCTTATCTCAGAACAGATGATGTCCTTCAGTTAGAGATAGTCTTCGACTTGCAACAGTTCTTTTAGTGACCATTCAAAGTTACAATGACACTGAAAAAAAGTGACTTATGAGCATTTTTCACTTACAACCATTGCAGTGTTCCCATGGTCACATGATCAAAATTCAGATGCTTGTCAACTGACTAAAATTTATGATGGCTGTAGGATCCCAGGTTCATGTGATCCCTTTTGCAACCTTCTGACAAGCAAAGTCAAAGAGGAAGTCATATTCACTTAACAACCGTATTACTAACTTAACTGCAGTGATTCACTTAAAACTTTGGCAAAAAAAGGTTGTAAAATGGAGCAAAATTCACCTAACTATCTCACTTAGCAACAGAAATTTTAGGCTCAATTGTGGTCGTAACCTGTACTTCATAGCCAAAATGCAAGAAAACTGGAGAAAAGGATGTCAAATAACAGCTATGTATCAAAGCAATTCACAGACATCAAGATGATTTGTAGTTTTCCAAAGCAAATTTGGTAGTATTAAAAACAGAAAGCATAATGCATAACATCCAAATAAATCTATGAATAGTGCCATCATCATCCTATAGGGAATACATATTTCATCATATAGGGAATACAAGAACTCTCCAGGGATTATCCAAAGAGCTTTATGCTGAAGAAACTATGACTCTTTTCTCAACCCAATATATTCTAACGAATGGCTTTCTTTTAAAGGAAAAGGTATCAAAATTTCCACAAAATGTCTCAAGGGGCTTTTCCCTGAATTAGAAACAATGAAGCACCAAAGTGTTCTGTAACTGAGCAATCCCTGCAAATAAATAAATGCATTTATTTGCTAGAAAATTTAAACAGACACCAAGAAATATTTTAAACTTCACCTATGCAACAAGTTATATATTTAAACAAAAATCTTCACGTGTTGCTTTCGAGAAAACGCTACAGGTCTTGTAATATTATCCAGTCAATACTGTCTTCGGGATAAATTAACCTCTACAAGGCAAACAACCATTTTACTCCTAGTTTAATTGTTGTCTTCAATCTTCTCACGGCGTAAATTTACAACCACCGGCAGCCAAGTCCTCGGTTTGAAAGGACAAGAATCGAGCATCCCTCGGTGCAGCGGGCTCGAAGGTGATTCGCCTTCCAGATGCTTAATCTTCGCAGGCGCTACATAGCATCCCAAGCGCGGCGGTGCAGCAAGCATACCCAATTCATCCCTAAAACTCCACCCGCTTCCCTCACGACATCTCAAACTTTCCGGTGACTCTCAAAATCTCCAGGACTGAGGCAGGTGGAGAAAGTCCCTTTTCCCCTTTCTCTGCCCGTCCGGAACAGCTCCTCCATCTCCCACAGCAGGAAGAATAGCCAGGAATCTCTTTCTCCCAGTTCCAAGGAGCGCGCAGAAGACTCCTTCAAAACAATTTTGGAGGAAAACCGCCAAAACTAGCACGCTTCGTTTAAAACCCCACCACCGGTGCGACATTACACAGCACCGAGAACCCTCAACGCCCGAGCTAGGCAGACACAACAACTCCGCCCCCCACCCTCGCCACCACCACCCCCGGCGCCGCCGCCTTTAGTGACTGGAAGAGTTGTCCCCGCGGCTCTCGCGCAAATGCAAACGAGGCGGCGCCCCTTACACCTGCGTACCTTCCCCTGCTTTTCCCCCAAAAAAAAAAAAAAAAAAAACTTCACCTACCTTTGGTGGCGAGGAGACTGCCGACCCCCAAAAAGAGCAGCGCCCACTCTCGGCATTGCTTCATCCTCTCCGCGCGCCCCCAGAGCAACAAGAACGTGCCTTATTTTCGGGGACTATTTTTGCAGCAGCAAGCCGTCCTTTAGAAGCAGCTCGAAGATGCGCTCCCTCAACCCGTTCAAGGCTGGCGACAGCGGAAAGAGCCAAAAAAGCAGCCCGAACAGCTGTGGCGGCGTCTGCAATTATTATGATTACTGCTACTACTGCGGCTGCCGCTGCTGCTCAGTCATTCGCAAGCTGTACTGCCAGGACCGGAGCAGCTCTCTCGCTTTCACCGCGGGACTGCTGCAACGTCACTGGGAGGAGAGGCGTGAATATTCATGAGGAAGGAGAGGCGGGAGGGGAAACAGACGCTCCGCTGGAAGGAAGCTCAGCCAGTCTGTTTCCTTTCGAAGCGCGCGGGAATTGTGCGCGGTCCGCTTTAGGCACGCGTCCTTGTCAGAAGGGGCTTGATTTCTGATTTCTGAAGCTTGTCTCCTGAACGTTGAGAGAGAAAAGCAGGGTCAATATTGGTGGTTTTACGCGTCCCTTGGGCATCTTCGCTGCGTACTGCAGCAACGCAAAGATTTGGGGTTTGGTACTTTTAGGAAGCTCCGACACTTTCCAAGCCTAAATAAGGACCACGGAAAACTCTTCTTGCTTCCGAAGTTACGCCTCTGGGGGGCGCAGCGTTCAGTCCAGAGCAGTGTTTTCCAACCTTGGCAACTTGAAGATGTCTGGACCCAGAATGCGAATGCTGGCTGGGGAATTCTGAGAGTTAGACATCTTCAAGTTGCCAAGGTTGGAAATCATTGGTCTAGAGTCTCTAGAGTCTGAGAGCCAGATTCTCTTGGCCAGTCAGAGAAAATGGTGTGGGATAGTAACCAGAGCCAGTGGCCCAGTCTTCGTCAGAAATTGGTAACACCATTGGTCAACCCTAATCTAGCTTCAAGCACATACCGGTATATAGTTTTGACTTGGAGAAAAGAAAGGAAAAGCTCTGTCCTTGATGTAAAGAATACATTTTCCCATTATTGGTTGTATCCTGCATTATCACACTTTAAAGATTATGGATATTCTTCCTGGAAAAGGCTGGATTTGCAAACTGATCAACATTTCAGTGAAGAATTAAAGAATACGATCATCAAATTGCATATGATATAAAGACAATGAAGATTCAGGATAATTTTGACAAGCTGGGACATTGGGCAAAAGCTTTCAACATGGACAAAAGTCCTTATTTCTTATTAGGAATAATCTGAGGCAAGGGTATAGGATGGGGAGTAATACATTCAAAAAAGATTTGGATGTCTTGGTCGATCACAAACTGAGCAAAAGTCAACAATGTTGCATAGCTATTAAAAAATGCAATCTTAGGAAGTATACCATAAAGATGAAGCTAAATCTTGGTCCTTTATATTGCACTTACAATACCACACTTAGAAAAGACAAGGCAGCATTTTAAGAAATTGAAAACTGGAATGATGAGAAAAGTTATGATAAGGAAAAAAATCTGGATTCTTTCAGAATTGTTAAAGCATTGAATATGTTTGATCTCAAGAACAGAAAATTGGAGTTAAGACATGAGACACCTTTTTCAGGTTGTGTGTGAAGAAGGAGCAGTGAAACATATTTATGTGGGGTGAAACATATTTATATGATGGAAGATTTCTCCATTGAGCAGGTGGTTGAACTAGATGATCTTCAAAGTCCCTTCCATTGATTTATTCTAAAGCATAGACTAATGAAAACAAACACAGTAGCACATCTTTACAATTTATCATTTCAACCCTTTCCAGTAACAGCATCTCTTTCCTGGGAGTTTTGCAACATAGCAACATCTTTCTTTCTTCATGTCCTCAAAAGCTGCAACTCTGTAGTCTGCAGCATCTTTCAGAGCTTGCTCAGATAACGGTCACCATCCTTCCTGTACAAATGAGCTGCATATTCTGTGTGTGTATGATAAATTACTTCTTACTCTTGCTGACTAAACAAAAAGTTCTCGATGTAGTTCATTTTTACTGTATGTCTTCTATTCCCAGATGTGCCCATTGGCCTTTTGTCATGCGTATCATTCAGCATCATCTTGTACTGAGAAATATCTGACAGATGACCACTATGAACTCTTTGTTAACTCATTCATCTCCAGATTGCTGAACAATCATTGGCGTCTAAGTGGTGATATTGGACTAAACAGCAGTGCTTATTTTCCACAATGGCTTGTTGACAGCTGTTTCCATAACAGCTCCACTCACATCTGGCTAAAACTCAATCTGAAGCCAAACAATGCAGCTGCAGCACGTGTGCTTTTCTCCAAAGCCAGAAATACAACAGCATGTCTTCTCTACATATCCAAATTTCCACAGACACCTATTAATTTGTTCCAGGATGTCCTGTTTGCACAATATGCTATCAACATGATAATGGGGAGTGAGATAATCATGTCACTCACATTCTAAAATATGTTCATGGACTCCCCTCATTAATCTGGATGGATCTCATTTAGCTCTCAGTAGACATGGTGATGTTTGCAAATAAACCAAATCCCCCAGTCAATTAAATCCACATCCTCCATGTTGTGCAAAGTACTTAATAAGACTTTTCTGACATCAACATCCATGATCAAAACAGGATCCTAAATTCAGAAATATGCAACTACAAAAAGCCTTTTTGTTTTCAGTTAGCTTATAGAGGGGGAAAGAGGAGTGGGTGGGTACGGCTCATACTGATCACACCACCATCTTTTTTTTTAAAAAAAATGTATTTTCAGGTATGAGAACGGGACAGCATCAGGGCTTCTTTGCAGTAGCATTTGCAGAATCCAGATATTTTCATTCTATTTGAATCCAGTCCACTCTTCCAGCTGTGTATCTATTGACTTGTCAGACTTGTCAAAATATTAATTATGGGTTCCAGTTGACAGGTCATCCATAATAATGTGATAGTGCTAATACACAAAGGTGTATGGATTGACTGTGAAGGGTCTCACTAGGTGCCTCATTACAGGTGAATAAGCACCTATTCTTTACATTAATTATCCCTGAATGCAATGAAGTTAAAATGTAACTATGTTAGTCACAACCTAGTATTTTGTTTCATGAAAAGAAATGAATTGTATAGAAAAAAGTTTTTCTTGAAGAAAAAGTGAAAATATTATCATTGTTATGCTTGGAGAATCAGAAATGGAAAGTACAGCTTGGTTTTCAGAGAATCCTATTTTTATTATGAGACCTGAGATAGACATATGTTGATTAGGGTGTCAATGATATCATCACAGGATATAAGCTGTTGCAAGTAAAGCTTTTGCAGTTGACTGATGGTAATTGTGTCAATGATGATGATATTCAGGTCTTTGCAGGTCTTTATATTTTGTGTTTTGTCCAGTTCTTTCTCTTCTACTGTCTCTAAGTACTACAGTGTATATTATCCAGGTTATCCTGTTTCTTTAGCTTCTTTGCAGAAGCAGCATTTGTTGTCTGTTGCTGTCCTCTCATTTCTGCCTTTGTATGTATTTATTCTTAAGGCTTGATCTTGTGCAGCCCCCTCCTATACTTTTCAACTTTCCTCCTCTTAGTCACAGTTTTGTTATTTGCTTTCCCTGATATTTTTTATATACTACCCATTTAATAATTTCCCTTGCTGTGTCTCTTTTCCATTCTTCATGTGGTTTTTCTTATAGGCCAGTTTGGTGTCTCCAGTACTCAGTAAGCTTTCCTAGTATACTAGTTTCAGTGCATCTTCCTCACTCTAGTTCAGATATTCTTCTAATGCCCTTTTTTCTTCAACCACCTGATATACTTACAACATTCCATGCCTTGGTAATAAGTGTTTGTCCACATTGCTATGAGGATGAAGGATGATGATGAAGAATGATTCATTGTCATTATTGTTCTGGTCTTCCTATCCATGGCTTTTAGTTTTGCTTGAGTCCAGGACACTGTTCCAGATGTGAATCTAATAACTGGAATTGCCCAGGTGTTAATTGACTTGATAGTATGTCCTCCACCCAGTTTAGACTTTAAGATCTAAAATACTCTCCTGGTGTATTTACTTCTAATCTTTTTCTTGATTGGATGTTGTCAGCTTGAAGGATGCCCATATATTTGTAAAAATTGTTTTCATCCAAACTCTTGATGTTATTTCCATTGAGCATTTTTATTCCTTCAGTTTTCATTGTTCACCACATTGATGGTAAATGGTGACACGTCTATTCAGTTCAAATTCCATAGCAATATCTTAGTTCTATATATGGACAGCTTTATGACTTAGTATCTGCTAAGCCAAAATGGCTTATGTGAGTTCCAGAAGAGGTTGTGGCTTCTTAAAGAATAACTAAATAAATTTCAAATATGAATGAAAAGTATGAGGAAACCCAAATTGTACATATTTGTCATAATCAAAGTACAGTGTTAAGATGAATAAAGAATTAGAGAAAATGTGCTGAATCTAAGAGGCAAAATAGCATAAAATATTATTATAGTATCCCCTTTTGAATTTCCCACATAAGTAAGACTAGCTGTTTCATCCATTAATACATAAAGTATATGCAGTGACAATTAGGGAATTTTCTCCTCCTTATAAGAGTTCTTATCAAAGTGTGGTCCCTTTTCCTCTTATGCCTACTTCTTCTTCCAATAGGGCAGACTGGTGGAGGTTCTGTTTTGTAATATAATCTATTTATTAGCTATTCCACTTTTAAAAGAGAAGAAATTATGCATTTAACATTCAGTATTGTTGCTCATGTAACTTATACCAAATGTGATGAGAAGTTATGCTATTCAGTACCTACTCTGCGCTAACTATGCCATTCTATTATCTAAAAAAGTTATTGTACCTGTTGCCGATTCTAAATTGCTAAATGCTAAATATACATACATACATACATACATACATACATACATACATACATACATACATACATACGAAGAAAGAAAGACAAATACACACATTTTTCACAAAACTGAGAGTCCCTCAGAAGCAGCATTTTGTAACGCATTCAAACACCAACAATATAGTTATTCTTTTATTGACAGGCCAATGCTAAATGTAGCAAAAGAATAATCCTTCCTATCATTGGTAGAACAGAAAAAAGAAGTATGTCTTAGTTTAGGATGCAATTCTATGCTCAATTACCTTGAAATGTATCCTACTGAATTGTCAAGCTCCAAAAACCAAGAAAGTAGTGAATTTTTCCAAGCAGGTTTTTTTTATTATTCCACACCTGTACAAAGAATCCTGCCAAACTAAAGCAGAGTA